GGATTTCAGAATTCTATTTCTGATTCTAGTTTGTTTATTTGCAAAAATTCTTATCATGTTACATATATTCTTATATATGTGGATGACATTTTGATTACTGGATCCAACTCTTCATCCATACACCAGCTTGTTCAAGAATTGAATGATCAATTTGCTTTAAAGACACTTGGTTCTATCAAATACTTCTTGGGGTTAGAAGCTACAAGAACACCTACTGGTATTCACTTAAAACAGACTAAGTATATTGTTGATTTACTTGTCAAGACACAAATGCTGGATTCTCATGCATGTTCTACCCCAATGGTTGTTGGTATAAAACTCTACTCTACAGATAGCCCTTTGTTCAAAGACCCTAGTCTTTATAGGAGCACCATAGGAGCTCTTCAATACCTTACCCTTACTAGACCCGATATAAGCTTTGTAGTAAACAAACTAAGTCAATACCTTCAAGCTCCTACTGAGCTCCAATGGCAAGCTTGCAAAAGGGTTTTAAGGTATATAAAAGGCACTCAATACTATGGACTACAGTTTAGGCCAACAGTATCTCTTAGCATTGAATGTTATGCTGATGCGGATTGGGGTAGTAGTTTGGATGATTGAAGGTCTACAAGTGGGTATTGTGTGTTCTTTGGTCCTAATCTAATTCAATGGAGCTCAAGAAAACAGAAGGTAGTTGCTCTTTCATCAACGAAGCTGAATATAGGGCATTAGCTAACACAGCCACTGAAATTGCATGGCTGTAGAGCATGTTTTCAGAATTAGGATTGAACCTGAAAACTCCTCCTGTTATTTGGTGTGATAATGCGAGTGCGTGTGCTCTTGCCGCAAATCCTATTTTCCATGCACGGACCAAACACATTGAAATTGATGTTCACTACATCAGGGATCAAGTTCTTGCAAAGAAGATTGCAGTTCAATATGTAGCATCTCAGCTACAAATAGCAGATGTGCTAACCAAGGCTCTATCAACAACTCAATTTCAAGAACTGAGACAGAAATTGAATGTTCTTGCCATGCCTTTTGGTGATTTAGAAATGACTGCAAAGGTTAAGCATTAGCAAATCTGTTAACACCACAGCTGAATAGCAGATTAGTAGTCATGATTCGAAGCTGAACAATAGATCAGTTGTTATGTTTGGTCAGAATCAATGCAGTTGAACAGCAGATCAATAGTTATGTTAACAGATCAGCAGTTTTGTTGATGTAGAAGTAATGCAGCAAATCAGTTGTTATGGTGTTGTTAATGCAGATTTTATGCAGTTTTGGTGATACAGAATTTTGTCAATGCAGAATCAATGCAGCAGATCACTAATTATGTCGGTAATGCAGACTTTGTTTTGGAGAATTTTTTTTTTGGAGAAGAGCAGTAAGAGGAGTCAATTTCTTTACTGATTGACAGTTGAATCAATTTAGTTTGTGGGGAAATGTTGAAGATATAATGGAGAAGAGAAGCAGCTTAAGAGCGGTAAGAGGAGTCAATTTCTTTACTGATAGAAAGTAAAATCAGTTTAGTTTGCGGGGAAATGTTAAAGATATAATGGAAAAGAGAAGCAGCTTAGCTTGAGGGGAAGTGTTCTGTTGACCAAAAATTCATGGTGCTAACTGCAAGTTCTCAAAATGTGAGGACCTGACGGTAAGTTTCAAAAACGATGTCGTTTTACTTTACATGTAAAAGTCTTTCTCCCAAAATATTATTCAGTGTTTGTTAGCTGCTGCAGCTTGACACTTTTTCACTCTTACTTCACTTGTTTCATCCAAGTATAAAAACAGCCAATGTATTGTAACAAGTTAGTTAATCAAATACAAAGAATCATTCAGCTAGAATCAAGTTTTATCTTTCTTTTCTTTCAATTTCACATAGTTAGAGTTAATTACATTGCGTAGACTGGTGAAAGTGTAGAAATTTCAATCAACAACATCGTTACCGCTATAGTTCGTTGGAACAACCAAGTCTGTGGTTATGTCTGGATCACCTGCGATGACTATTGCAAGTAAGAGGAAAAATTGAACTAATCTGATAAAATTTGAGGCCATGACGACGTAAAGAGTATCTAGCTAGAGAAAAATGAGAGAAGACTGTCAGAGAAGTTTTGTTTATTGATTTTGCGATTATATTGCATGCTAGAGCGTAAAATTTATAGTGGAGGAGTTAGAGTTTTGTTATTTATTTTCACCAATGTTGCAAATTGCACTGATGTGCGGCTGTGGTGCAACACGCAACAATAAAGGATAAAGAAGTTACTAACAGGCTGTGAAAACATATTACTTCAAGTATTATTAGTGCATTTTTACAACAGGCTCTACTATTACTAGTGGTGCAAACTGTTGAAGTGCAAATATATCACAAAAAAAGAATTAAAAATAAATTAATCAACTAAATATACATGAGATCACAAGAAAAGAAAAGATGAGGGTCAATTTGTAATGCATCACCTACGTCAATTTCTTTTAGGTAGTTGTAACGTCAAATTTCAAAGCCTTATCAACAGTGATATATCATTAAGACTGAAAAATATCTCAAAACATAAGAAAAAAATAATAATTTGTGACTCAAATTTTATACCATTGATTAATATCTGAGCACCGTTGAATTTGTGAACTGTGTCTGTCAATTTGGGATCACTACGGGAAAATCGAGTTTTTTAGAGATTTACGTTGCAATAATATTAAACTAAGTCATGATAACTGTACAACACAAAAAAAGTCACAAATCCGTCGATTTTAATTAAAAAAAGAAACATTGTAGCTTTAATCTATGAATGAAATTTATATTATAATGCTATGATTACAGGTCTGCATAATTTGCCTTAGACTTGTTTTAGGTTTGCCAACTGTTGATGCGATTTTCCGCACCAGTTAGAGCGTGGAAACGAAGAAACTCACAAACCTAGGACACTCGATTGATTCATGGGAGAATCGAGTAGGATGGGTGCGTGGTATCTGGGAACCAGCGTATGGGACCTGTTTCATGTGCATTGAATGACGATGGCAATTGTATGCCTCCCAGTGGATGGTAAGGGAGCTAGAGAGAAGTTCTGACATTTTTAAAGTGGTTCGGCCGAAAAGGGAGTAAGACCTATGTCCAGTGTTATGTTATTTGACTGTATGTGTTTGGGGATACAATAAGATGTGTTTTTCGATGATCGAAAAATGTATCTCGACCTACTGGATGGTCGGAGACTTTGGAACAAAGAGAGGCTTTGTAATTCCTCTCTCTTCTTCCCTTTTATTGTGTTGAAATCTAGTCTGTTCTTTTTCCCTTTTTTTCTTTTTCTCTTCTCCGCCCTCTTTCTTGGCCGTGACGATTTTTATATGGAGAGGGTATGTAAATGCTATGATGACTAGTATGTCAGCCACGATGTTGGTATCATGCAGCGATTGGAGGCTCACATGCTCCTACGCTGTAGCTCATGATGGTGTCCCATGTGCCAATAGGTGGCTGTGCAAGTCTCTTATTGGCTAAGGTGCATGGATAACACGTGTAGATTGTGTCCTGTCGCGTGTTGTTGGTCACTGCAAGCAGAGTATACGTGGTGAGATGATTTGTCTGCTTAGGGAAGATATTTTCGTTTGGTGAGTCCCATCCTTGTCACACGCTTTACTCGTGCCTGGGCTGGATGTTTGTGCTCTTTATTGAGCTTCTTTGCTCCTCAGGCTTGATTCTCGCTTAATGCTAGGGTGTGCCCTAGGCTTCTCGTTTTATTTCAAGTTGGGGATTTTTACTGCACAACATAAACCGTTAAGGATTCTAGTAAGATATAAGGTGTTAGAAGTAAGAATTCCATTAAAATAATTTTAGACATATTGTTTCACTTATTTAGTAATGGCAATTCTACTCCAAGATTTCTACTTTAAATGATTTGTTTACGATTCTTTTATAATTTATTGTTCTTGAAAAAGGCTATATAATTTCCATCAATTTCACTTACTATTCCTTAAATATTTGAAGAATAAATTTTTTATTAACTATTTATGCACTAGAGGTTATACTAATCGAGTCGCTACCCATGGCCATGAGAGACCATCTTTTATGTATTGATGAGTTCCTATTGACCAAGTAATTGCACTATAATTTATAAACTTTTCAATATATCTTGTTACAATTTAGTCTTTAGAAGCCCACGAAGTAATATATATGTTCACAAATCACAAATTATTACTTTTGTCCTTCAAAAATTATGACCAAGTTCCTTGCAGTTGATTATATTCTCAGCCTTTACCTTCTTATATAATCATCCAATCATTGCATAGAATTTTAACGCATTAGAGTTTTAAACCAATCAGTTTGTGTAGGTTAACAATTTTGAACATGCACGCTAATCATAAACGTTTTAATAAAAAGTTGGATCCTAACATTGGATCTTAATTAACATTGTTGAGGAGGTGTAAAAATTACATCAATTATAAATAAGTAAATCTCTCATCACATCAACCTATAGTTAATCTGGTATTGATAAATTGTCAATTATCATATTACTTCCTGAGGCCTTCGTACTTCATATTGTTCTTCTTTCAACCATATGAAAATAAGTTACAAACGGTGCTCCTCTTATGAGCATAATAACTCGTCTCATCAAATCAAATTAAAACTGTGAGGAAAAGATTTATGGATTCTACTTAAAGTTAAGTTTTCTTTAATTATTCTATTACTTGTAAAAAAGAAATATGTAAAAGCTTATCTTCTAGGCTTTAGATATACAAAACTTTGAAAACTTAAAATAACGATGTTATAAATAATTTGATTGAACTTCTTGTAATAAATTTATTTATCAAATGAAATGTACATCAATGGAATTCATACACATTAAAGGACATCCAAATTGATTTCCCAGCTTGATCATTATAAATTTGTGAATTATTGGACTAGATTCCACCTCTTTACCAACATTAGAGATGTTACTCAATATGGTATATTCAGAGATAACATAAACAAAATAATTACTATAAAAATAATAAAACATAAGGATAGTAAAATAGGAAAAATGAGATTGAATTTAAGCCTAGAGTGTAAGACCTGCCTCGAGCTTCTGGATAGTTGTAACATCAATTTTGAACGTCCTAGTAAGAATGTTATCATCAATGCCACTCGTAAACACATTGAGAGGAATTGAAACCGTGCCTGCATTAGCACTCCCAAAGGCAGAAATAGCGACAGAAGGCTGTTTTGGATCATCGTTAGACTGATAATGCACCAATCCCTTTGGAAACACAAACATGTCTCCCGGTCTCAGAGTTTGTTTGTAAAGTTTGTTATTGGTGTCAGTAAATCCAACATTCAACCACCCTTTTAATACCAAGAGTAGTTCAGCTGAACGCGGATGTGTGTGAGGTGGGTTAATAGCTCCCGCTGGAAATTGTAAAAAAGCATAAGAAACACTTTGACTATTTAGGGCTGGAAAGTTGGCCTGGCTAGCTTTTGTCACTGTAAATTTTTGTGTGTAGTCAGAGTTAATTACATTGCGCAGGCCGGTGAAAGTAAAGAAATTTCCATCAACGGCGTCGTTATCGATATAGTTCGTCGGAACAACAAAGTCTGTGGTTATGTCTGGATCAATTGCAGTGACTATTGCAAGTAAGAGGAAAAATTGAACTAATCTGAGAAAATTTGAGGCCATGACGACGTAAAGAGTACCTAGCTAGAGAACGATGAGAGAAGACTGCCAAAGAAGTGTTTGTTTATTGTTTTTGCGATTATATTGCATGTTAGAACATAAAATTTATAGTGGAGGAGCTAGCGTCTTGGCGAGTTTTGTTGTTTATTTTCACCAAAGTTGCAAATTGCACTGATGTGCGGCTGTGGTGCAGCACGCAACAATAAAGGATAAAGAGGTTACTAACAGGTTGTGAAAACATATTACTTTAAGTATTATTAGTGCCTTTTTACAACAGGCTCTACTATTACTAGTGGTGCAAACTGTTGAAGCGCAAATATATCACAAAAATGAATTAAAAATAAATTTATCAACTAAATATACATGCGATCACAAGAAAAGAAAAGATGAGGGTCAATTTGTAATGAATCTACCTTGACTTCTTTTAGGTAGTTGTAACGTCAAATTTCAATGCCTTATCAACAAATATATCATTAATACAAGACTGAAAAATATCTCAAAATATAAGAAAAAAATAATCTCTGACTCAAATTTTATACCACTGATTAATATCAGACCACCGTTGAATTTGTGAATTGTGTCTGTCAATTTGGGATCACTACAGGAAAACCGAATTTTTCCGAGAATTACGTCGCAATAATGTTAAACTAAGTCATTATAAATGTACAACACAAAAAAAAAGTCACAAATCCATCGATTTTAGTAACCCAAAAAAAAAAAAAAAAAAAAAAAAAAAAAAAAAAAAAAAAAAAAAAAAAACATTGTAGCTTTAATCGTGTGAATGACAATTATATTATAATGCTAGGATTACAGGTCTGCTTAATTTGCCTTAGACTTGTTTTAGGTGTGCCAACTGTTAATGATCCTAGTAAGATACAAGGTGTTAGAAATAAGACTTCTGTTAAAATAATTTCAGACATATTGTTTCACATATTTAGTAATGAAGATTCTACTCCAAGTTTTATATGTTAAGTGATTTGTTTATGTTTCTTTTATAATTTATTGTTCTTGAAATAGGCTATTTAATTTCCATCGATTTCACCTACTATTCCTTAAATATTTGTGAGAATAAATTTTTATTAAACACTATCGTATGAATTAACACCATGCGCTGTCGTTTTTGATAGCTGCTTCTTTCAATGCTGACCATTGCTTTGCATCAGATCCAATGGCTGCCACTCTCCATCTTGGTCAACATATAAAAGTGGGCTAATCACCGGTTTTCATACACAGAACAAGCTCTCTTCTTTGTGTGTTGTATTATCTCTGCTAGGGTTCATCTTTGTACTAAAAATCTTGTAATCCTTTGGGCAATTTGTTGAATCATGCCTAGAAGGTTGTGTTTCCTTCAAGGGTAGAGAAGCTAGGTTAGTTTTCTCTTAGGATTAAGGTTTGCTATGATTGGGTTTGAGTGATTAGGCAGTAGAAAGGGTTTTGCGATTGCTTGGTTGAGATTGTACTATGTAAACTCTTGATAATCATAGTGCAGCGAGCCTCTGTATTCTGGAGCTCAACGTGGACGTAGCTTGTTCAATCTTGAACAAGTGAACCATGGTAAAATTGTGTTTGTTCTGTTCTTGATTGATTTTGTGTGTGAGAATTAGAAAGATAGAATTGATATTCAGGCCCTAATCACAACCGTGGTAGTAGAGCCATTCCTCTAGGGTTTGTCAAAACTCCAGGTTTCTTGATTCGGAAATTTCTTAATTCTAGGGTTTGCCAAAATTGGGGGTTTCTTGATTTAATGGTTCTTGGGTAGTCTCAGGTTCTGGAAATCATCAATTCATCTATCAATTCTTGAAAATCAGAAATCAATTTCGATTTTTAGGGTTCAACAAGAAAATCACACCATGAGTACTACACGCATGGAAATCTCCCAGTATGATGGGAAGATTGACTTCAACAGTTGGAAGAAGAAGATGAAGGCTTTTCTGTCACATAACAAAGTGGGAATTGCACTGAAAAAAGATGCGACAAAATGGCCAGAAGAAAAGCTGAAAAAGAAATCGGATGTTGATGATGAGGCATATAATTTCATCTCATAAATCTGCCAGACAACGTATTAAGGAAGGTAGATAGTCTGGAAACTCCAATCGCTCTCTAAGGTAAACTCGAAACCTTGTATGCGTTACAAGCTGCTCCTAACCTGGTTTTAAAAGGTGTTTTGTTTTCATATAAAATGGATCTCTCTAAATCTTTGGATGATAACCTAGATGAATTCCTGAAAATGACATTGATACTAAAAGGCACTGACCAAGAATTAGAAGCCTCTAGCCTTGTATGATTCTATTGAATTCATTGCCTGAGGACTATTTAGTGGTAAAAAATGCATTATAGTATCGTGGGACTGCCCTTAGTGTTGATCTAATTGTTGCTGGGTTGAAATCTAGGGAGTTAGAATTAAAGATTCATAAAAGGAATAGGAACAACTTGTTTGTAAAAGGTAGGGCAAATTCTGGTTAGTTACAAAAAGAGGCAGGAAGAGGCTTACAGTATAACTCAGGATTTAAAAATAAGAAAAAGGGTAAGGGTAACAGTAGGCCTAAAGGGGAGACTAGAAAATGCTTCTACTATAACAAAACTAGACACCTTAAGAAAAACTGCTATGAGTGGATTAAGAAACATAAACAATCCAATACTGAAAGCAACCTTGCATGTACTAGTAACAACATTGAACTCTCTGAAGCTCTCACAGTGTCAAATTCTGCTAGTGTTAAAGAGTAGGTATTAGATTCAAGATGTTCCTTTCACATGAGTCCAAATGAGAATTAAACCGTGTTCATGGGTAATAATCACTCTTGTAAGGTCTAGGGAATTGGTAGCATAACCCTTAAGTTGAATAATGACAAGGTAATCAGGCTAACTAGAGTAAGATACATACCTAAACTAAAAGGGAACATGATCTCTTTAGGAGCCCTTGATGAGGCTGGATGCTATTATAAGGCACAAAATGGGTGTAAAAGAACTAAAAACAATGGCTTGTACATACTATGTGGACACTACTATCATGATTCTTTTAATACTACACACTTAACTGCTAATATGTCTGTAGTAGAAAAATGGCACTTGAGGATGGGCCATATAGGCGAGAAAGACATGAACATTGTTAGACAATAGGGTTGTTTTAGGAATGACACAGTTTCTGACCTAAAATTTTGTGAAGCATGTATTTTGGGTAAGCAGCATAGGGTGAGTTTCCCAAAAGGAATTCATTAGGCTACTATCTGTTTAGAGTATTTGCATGCTGACTTGTGGGGTCCTAAGAGGGTGAGATCACATGGTGGGAATGGTTGCTTATTGTCCATTGTAGATGACTATAATAGGAAGGTATAGGTATACCTCCTTAAGTCTAAAGATGTAGCCTTAACCAAGTTTAAAGGCTAGAAGATATTGGTGGAAAACCAAACTGATAGGAAGGTCAAAGCCCTTAAGACTGATAATAGACTGGAGTTTTGCAACTCTGAGTTTGATGCATACTGCAGTGACCAGGGGGTTCTAAGACATAGGACAATTAGAAGAACCCTTCAACAAAATGGTGTTGCTGAGAGAATGAACAGAACACTGTTGGAAAAAGTTAGGTGCCTCCTATTCATTTCAGGGCTACCTAAAACCTTTTGGGGAGAAGCCTTAAACACTGCTGCCTACCTTGTTAATAGGAGTCCTTCTAGTGCTATAGAGTTCAAATGTCTAGAAGAGATGTGGTCTAGTCGAAAGTCAAATCTCAATCACTTAAGGGTATTTGGGTATGCTGCCTATGCATACACCAATGATGGGAAGTTAGAGCATAGGTCTCTTAGATGTGTATTTCTAGGATACCAAGAAGGGACTAAAGGATATAGGCTGTAGGAAAGAGAGGCATAGGGGGTCAGGGTCATAATTAGTAGAGATGTAGTCTTCAATGAATGTGTTTTTCCTTGCAAAACTGCTAACTTTAATGCAGGTAACCCTAGTAGTGATTTTGTGGATCCAAATCAAATTGACACCACTCAAATTAAGGTAGAGCCAGCAAGGTACCCAACTAATTTGGCCAATTCTGATGAAGAAGATGAACCTATAGAGTTGCCACCAACTGCTAATACTACTCAAGACCTTGAAGATATGATAATAGAGCATGCTGAGGGGTCTCAACAAGATGATCTTGCACAGTATCAACTTGCAAGGGATAGGATCAGGAGGGATATCAGACCTCTTGCTAGATACAGTCATACAAACCTAATCTACAGGGCACTGATTGCTGGTGTTGAAATTCAAAGAGCTGAACCTACCACCTATGAAGAAGCTGTAAGCTCAAAGGACAACAAGTAATGGTTGGCAGCCATGAGTGAAGAGATGCACTCCTTGAAGGTAAATAGAACATGGTCACTAGTTCAAAAACATAAAGATCAGAATGTGTGGAGTGCAGATGGCTGTTCAAGCTAAAAGAAGGCATAAATTAGTTTGACCCTCCGAGATACAAGGCCAGGTTGGTAGCAAAAGGCTACACACAAAGAGAATGTATTGACCTTAATGAAATATTTTCTCCAATAGTTAAATTTAAAACAATCAGGTTGATGTTGTCTATTGTTGTTCACCATGACCTAGAACTAAAACAATTAGATGTTAAGACTGCCTTCTTACATGGTGAATTAGAAGAGACTATATACATGAGTTAGCCTATTGGTTTTATAGATAAAAATTTACCTGAACATGTGTGCTCGCTGCATAAATCCCTGTATGGTCTTAAACAGTCCCCTAGGCAATGGTATAAAAGATTTACTCCTTTATAGTTCGGATTGGGTTTACTAGGAGCAAATATGACAATTGTGTTAGTAAACGGTCCCGTATACGCAGCGGAAACAAAAATTAATATATAACAGGATCGTTTACATGAGCCAAGATCAAGGGTATAATTTTATAATTCATATTAAAGCAAGAATCTACTGAAATTAATAATTTGTGTTTAGAAACCATACGCACGTTTGGAGGCTCCACCACGATTGTCTTTGAACGTTTTGCTACCGATC